TACTCCTGTAATTCTCATGGGATTGAAATAACTGCTATCAGACTAATGACTGCTCCACACACACACTTATTTGGCATATATCGCTCACCTAGTGTACCCATAGTGCAAATGTGTTCTGCATTATCTAATGTTTTATTTTCACAGGACTTGCAACTCAATGGTTTAATAGGTGACTTTAATATTGACTGGCTAGAAAATGCAGAGAGAACATCACTGTATAACTTATTTGTAAGAGATCATGGATATAAACAGCTTGTATCATCTTACACCACAGATAACAAGACTTGCATAGATCATGTTTATACTAACATACCCATATCAAATATTAAGGTAGAAGTACTTGAAACATATTTTACAGATCACAAGTCAGTTTGTGCACTTGTTGATTGCTTTAATGAGGCAGTTAAAATATCAAACTGTTTTGCATGAAGAGAGAGAAAGAGATATTCCTGATTTTCTAATGTTCTGGTAGATGCTCACACTACCCATGAACCTCCATTATGTTCATTGACTAGGAGCTTTCCTGATGGTAATGACATTAAACTGAGAAGAAACAAATTAACTATACTTGTACTTGGTCATTTACATTGTACGTCTACATGACGTATATCAAGCACATTACAAACTACTTCATTTTGCTGCAAATATGAAAATTGGTCAAAATACTGTTACTTTTATTTCACAGTACAGTTGTAACTGATATTCCAAACATGGCGTCAAACTCAAGGTAAGTTTTTGTATCCTGAAAAGACCCTAGCAATCTCTTAATACCTTAACCCACTGCCATTAAAGCTAATGAACACAATTACATTCATTTACCCACAAATTTAATTCTCTCTCATTTTTCTTTTCTTTTAGTAAAAGTACATCAACAACAACGAAGAGTAGCAAAAGTAAAGACTCAGGTAAAAAAGAAAAAAACAAGCTTTTTTTATAAAGTAAATGGTTTGAACCCAGAAGTATCAATAGTTTGTATAGTGTGATCATCCGCGTGAAAGAAGTTCTAAAAATATGTTGGTGACTGACATTTCAACAACCTGTTGGCAAGTCATCTTTAAAGTCGAGTAAATAATAGTTGTCAGTTGATGATGTTGTAAAGTCTGATCCATAGACCACTTTCATAAATGGCTGCCGGATGAAAATTCTTTTGTTTAAATTTAAATTAGCCCTTCTGGCCTTGCTCGAGATAATGTATTCTTTTGAATTTTGTACCGGAGAACGAGGTCAGAAGGGCTAATTTAAATTTAAACAAAAAAATATTAAACCGCCAGCCATTCATGAAAGTGGTCTATGGCCAGTTAAGCCATGATCCAATTGGCTGTAAGACGTGTGTAGTTTGTCAACAGTCATTGGTCTGTTGTGATCCATCTATTGTTCATCAGTTTGTTTATGTCATTAATGAGTCCTTGGTAACGTGGCA